CTTGGCATTTTTATAGGTCAAAACTAAAGAATATGAGTATTATTTTATGATATGAGTGTGCATGAACGTTGGATTAAGCGAAGGAATAAAGCGTAAAGCACCGTTCTGAAAATGAATGGCCATTTATGAGCTGAACATAACAGCTAGTGCACTAAATAAACCAAACGTTCAGTTATTTTTTGACACCGAGAAAAAAAGAAAAAAAACACGAACTAATATGTAGAATTTGGTACTTTCACCTTTCTGTAATTGTTGGAAAGGTGGGAATATATATTTACTTGTAAGTTGTATTAATACGGGGTATTAAGTACAAACATTTAGATAACTTCTAGGGATATTTTAACAAAATAATTAAACATTTTTTTTATCTCTTGCAAGCAAATATACCTTGGTAAGTCGTATACCAGAATTTTTCCAAAAGATATAAAGATGTTTACCTCAAAGACAATTCAACCTACCCACACGCAAAAATAAATTCAGCTTATTAGAGTAAATCTAATCTTTGTGTTATATAGATGTAAAATTCTAATCTAAAAGGCAATAAAACGGCGAGACGTATCGGTCTTAACTATCACGTATTGCTCGATTATTTTGAGCACGTATCTGCCTTTCGTTGCAAGTCTACAGCGGTGCTCGGCAGGGATTATGTTTCTGTTTAGATCTCTCTAAGTGGCTGATCTCTGGTCCGGATGCCGGATATAAATAACCTACAAAAAACCTAAAAGGAAAATGTTGTTTATGAGTTTTTTCTTTTATTTTAATTTGATACATTATTACTGAATTTCCATATAGTAACTTATCGTTTAAACTAAATTTCTGTTTTGAATATTTCAAGATAACTTAATCACCGAAAAGAAAATTTAGGGCTATATTTAATATGTTGTATAAATAATTATAGTTTACTTCATGATGAAAACCTGAACATTTTGTCTAGACGAATAATTTAAAATATATAATGGAAAATTAGTTAAAAAGGAACAGCTGATAAATTGCGAATACAAAAAAATACTCATCATATTTGTGATAAAGTAAAGATCTATTAGAGCTATTAAATATAACGCTGTTTTTTTTATAATGGAAAACATAAAAGCAGTTTAGACTACCTGTACTCAATGATTTCTCTGAACAAATCATCTATGTATAATAAATATCAGTAAGTTTAACAATAATCGTTAAATCATATTTATTGTTATAAAGCATTCTATTAAAAACACAAAACAAACGGTACCTAGAAAAAAATTGATAATACGCATGATGTAAAATGATACAAATTTCAAAAATATACTTTGTTATAAGAGAAAGAGAAAGAAAGAGAAGCGAGAAAATCTCAGCGTGGGAGGAACGACTGGTAGATTATGCTAGAAACACAATATATCAGCAGCAATTTATTCCGTCTAGATGTAACATTACAGTTGTTGGAAATTATCGCATTGCTAACTTCGCAGTAATGCTTTGTAGACGGTAAGATTGGCCTCCGTCACCTGGCGGCATTTCTAGCATACCTTGTCCCAGCGTCTGTTTGTGTCTGCATAATGTAGAAAAGGTTTATGAACTTATGATTATTCAATCAGAGAACGTCTATTGATTTCTATAATTTGTTGTATATTTAAAACAATGCATGTTCAATATTTTCGTAGAGTCATATTTATCATAATAATTATATCATAATTTAATTTTAATATTGCTAATCGAAAGACATATTTTGAATGATCTACTCGTACATTTTTCAAGAAATGATTCAATGCATGCTGTATTGATTCAGGGTCTTTCAAATAGAATCTATTTGAAAGACCCTGATTGATTATAAAGGATATGTTTTATAGAGAAAAAATATATTCAAAATTAAAATTATTAATTATGTGATTATATTAAATTGCCTTAGTAGACTTTTAAGTCAAGAACTTTTAAGTGTTGAGAATCGAGTACCGCTTAAGCCGGTGTTAGGGGATGTGAGGGATGTTGCACTTTTTCATTAGCCCTCATGGACAGACTCAATCAATTTTCTGCGTCCCTGCCTTGTTGATGTTTAGCATTTTAAAATGATGATAATACGGTACTAATACCGTGTCACAACATGTCGTCATACTATGTTTATACAGCTTGTTGAAAAGTTTATAGTTATATACAAAGGTCATCATGTGACATTTGTAGAGTTTGTGTGACATACGTCCATCGCACATTTAACGAACATTTATGTAATTATGGTTTGTATCGACTGTACCATAAATCACTACAAAGTTACGCAATTGAACTGCTTAGCATGACATGACATTCACAAAAGTGATTATATTTGATTAAATTCAATTTAATTACATTTTCATTTATTTTTGTAACCGTATTCATAAATATGAGAGATTAGACATAAATGTTGAGCTTGACGATTTTTATGTTGATTATATCACAATATATGTACTTAAAAATTACGAGGTGGGAAATTATCCCTTGTAAAACCAAGAAAATATAATTTCATTTATTTATCTTGGTATTTGAAGTTTCTTGAGAATAACTAGTTTTGGTTGAACTTAAATGTTTTAAATTTGGATGAAACTGACAACTTTGTCTTTTTTACATTTACCCCAAAAGCAGTGACTACATCAGACTAAACTGGCATACTTTGTTAGCTTTTCGGTCACAACAAATTACTTACATTAAAATGTTACCTAAGTTTATGAATGATAATGTCCACATTAAAAGAATGAAAAGTCCATTTATTTAGCGTGGTAATGGTTTATTTGTTTATGGAATGATGATAGTAAAAAGGTACTATTTAGTAAGGCTGACAATTCTTACGGAATATATTAAATTTACAAATGATTTCTTTTCCTTGATCATTCGATACACACTTTCTAATATTTTTGTTGATGTATGCATCGTTTGGCATGCTTACAATTTATATCATCTTAATATATGTGAAAGCCGCGTTATTATATTGATCGTTGTTTCTACTTGGTTCAGCAAGCACTTTCTGTTTTGTTGTTTATTTTTTATTGTGCTCGTAAAAGTGATATACTTGTACTTGTACTTTATTTCAGCAAAGCAAAAAGTTGATATAATGCTAGTCGATGATACGGAGTGCACTATAGTATCAGGTCACTTACAAAGATTGATAAAAGTGATAAAAAACAATAGAACAACAATAGCATATATATCATATTTACCACGGAAGTAACAGAAAACTTTTCACTCCCTTACAAAAAAAAATGAGAACACTTGAATGTTAAGGGGTATGATCGATACAAGAATGACAATACTATCAGGAAGTATAAGTGATTGCTATCTAAGTTGATAAATAAGAAAATATTGCTTTAACAGATTCAACAAACATAACCTCTAACATAGAGCCGGCGTTAATGTGTTAGCACTCCAGAAAGCTGATAAAGTAGAAAGAAAGAATGACAAGTACCTCAGCCATGATAGAAATCACAAACACTATCTCCCGGGAGAACACTTGCTCGCGGCCACAAAGTACCACACATTGTCCCGAAACATCAGTTTTTGTTGTTTGTCTTCTTTCTGTTAAATGTATTACTTATATAAGTCAATCATTTCGATTTCAAAATACAATCGCATACAAAATAAAAAGAAAATATACAGTATAAATATATAATACAAAAAAACTTAAAAATTACAATAAAATCATTGAATTTATTGATTCGCAATACTAAAATTGATCGCATAATTTGGTTATTGAACAATTTGGCAAAATAATTTCAAAATCTAATTTCATCTAAGCCACACAAAAATATTTTTTATACTCGTTTACGTCTCAAGTTTATTGGCAAATCGACTGTGGACATTGTTTTTACAAACATATACTATATTGCAAATACGTTTAACATTTATATAAACGTTAAATTCATTAATAGTCATATTATTATTATTGTTGTTGTTATTATCATTATTTCTTCAAAGGCCGTGAAAATCTTTAATATGCTCTTTTGAAAGAATATATTAAATATCTGTTCATAAAAGTTCATAAAATTGCTGAAATATTAAAATAGATTGTTTGATATGCATATTGTCAGAAAAAATAGCACACAATCTATCACATCTCAATGTGTCTCGGTTATGCCACATCCTCATTTGCTCATAAATATTTCTCTTTACTCTTTTACTCTCGTTATTCGAAACGTAATCACTAACAGTCTATTTAGAAATGATTTGTTTAATTTCCACAGGGCATTTCGACAAGTTATTACATTGATACCATCTTCGTTCAGAATTTACAGGATTGTTAGCCTTCATCATTTATTACAAAAACGTATTAATCTGTTTTACTGTTATGCTCGAAGGCCAGAAGTTCTCCCATGCCATTACATCAAGACAAACTCCAATTTGAAGTAAATTAATGAATATGTTTATAGGAAAATAATTCGATGAATCTTTAATCATATTGTACTCAAGAAACCAACGTTTCTTTAAAACGCCGATTTTTTAATTATGTTTATATTACTATGTCAGTGTATCTTCTAATTCACAACTGTGTTGACATCGGACAAAGAACTGAAAATGTTCTGGAAATATGTTAATATAAAAACTATACATATTTTTCCAGAACATTTTCGGGTCTTTGTCCTTCAGGTCAATATTAGTGTTGAAATCAGCACCATCGTTTATAGTTATTAAAAAAACAATTAAGTAACAGACATAACAATCAACGCCAGATCAATAAATCACATCTGGCCGCTTCCGTTTAAGTTAAAAGATGATAATTCGGCCCTATTATCGTTTTGTTATCTACAAAGTAAGACAAAGTACTTGACGAAACCCTTTTGCTGAAAGGTTCAATCGTACATTTCACACCATACTTCTCAATTGCTATTCTCTAAATAAATTGCCAATTTGCTCAACTGGCAACATAACATGTATTTAAAATATAATACTTCCAGTTTACATTTCATTTTGAAACATCGGAGAGCCACTGCATACAGTGCATGATAATGTTTAAGTTATGCATTTATGATCATTCAACATAATAACGTTTTAATTTTGCTTTTCAGGTTTCAGTTTTGATCTCGGTACAAGGGATGTCCTTGACCTTTTGCAGTTTGTAAATACGACAAGTTCATCAATTACATATGTTAATGGTATTGAGCCTTTTATGAAAGCTATTTACTTAGAAGGTATGTATTGTTGACATGATCTCTTTTAAATTTTGAAAATAATGACATTTTTGGATGGTTTTAATAATCGATGTTCGGCTGAATTATTGGTGCAGAGAACTTTAAACAATATGCAATCTTAAAAATGATACAAAAGTATCACACTAAAAATGTGTACCGCCTTATAATGGTGAGTCAGAAGAATGTATTTTTTGAAATTCTAAAATAAACCATATTCTAATTTTCTGCTTAAGCCAACAGGAGGCATTGAGGTGGGATCTATTATATATGTTCTCTTTCCGTCTTATATAGATGAATGTATATATAAGCAAATATATTTGTAGAATGAACTCTGTTTCATACAATGTTTGTAAACTTTGCATGATCTTAAAACATGACAATAGAAATATTGGCACATAATTACACTGATTTTCTTTTGATTCAAGAAAGAGTTTTCAGCCATATGCCCTTGAAATTAACGGAAATGAGTGACAAATAGTCCAAGGCAGATACTCGAATATAAGATTGATGACCTTCCCAAATTGTGTCGCTTATATTGTTTCTGAAAGCAGTAGCAATTTCATGAATATCAAACCAAGCCTGCAATGTTTTCAATTTTGCCGTGCTAGGGTTTCTACGTTTACCCACAATACGATTTGGTTGAAGTGAATATGTTAAAAGAAATGTATCAATTGTAGAAATTATCAGCACCAAACTGTTAAATCATAATAATAAACCTGATAAAAGATGTATGTTTTCATGTTTGATCCAAATGATAACATTGTGAGTTACATTTATCGTCCATATATATTTTAAATTCAATTGGCATCAAAGCCAGCCTTTAACACCAGATCACCACCAACAATTAACACTGTTGTTTATGTATGATTCAAACAGTGCTAACGCTGGTATTTTACAAACAAATAAAAGGAGCACACAAACAGTAAAACATAACAACTGCCCAGGGCACTCCTTTAATTACATTGCCTGTTAAATTTTGGAACTTTTGCGCAGTAAGGTTCATTAAAAAAGCCAGTTGTACGAATATTGTCGAATTTTTTATCTCATTCATAAAAATCAAAGCGCTTCTTCACGCTGGTAGACAATCAAAAGAATTCGATTCTGAAAGAAAACAGAACTTTTTTTCGAAAAGTCCGATATAACCGAACCTTGGTGGTCTATTTTATATATCTTTTATGATTAACAATTTGTTCCCATACATAAAATACAAAGATAAAAAGCATTAATGGTAAAGGATTGGACAGACTGACTTGAACGTTTTCTAAGCAGATGCATTATCTCTTATTCAATTATGTATGACTTCTTCAGTATATAAAAGTAAGTAAGTAAGTAAGTAAGTAAGTTAGTAAGAAGTTCATTATCTTGACAAATGCATAATCAATAAAATTGCAACCAGCTTACTGGCCCTATAAGCATCCTTGACAAATTCCATTGTGAAAATGTAAATATGAATACGTTATAAATGATCTGACGTGACACCTTAAAATGAGAACAAAATTTAGATTCAAGCACTTTTTGTTTTTAATAATTGCAAAAACGAAAGCGAAAACGAAAACTGTACGTTTGGTGATCAGCAATTGTTATTTTTTTTTCCTCGGGATGGAATAAAATATAATTGGCGGGTCGTTTATAAAATGTTCTTTGTTACCTTGTTTGTTTTATTCAAATGATTTTATTTGAAATTGTTGAAATGTTTTTTCGTGTTCGCATAATTAATATGTGTTTTGAATTTGAAAGATATGTGAATTATTATGATTCCTGATAAAGACAATCATTTATGCTTTATTTCAGACCAAAATAGAAGCCTGGCGTTACCAGAGAGTGTAGTTAGCGAAGCCTTGATGTTGCTACGTAACAATGATGATGTCACGTTCCTGGCTACTGTCAGACAGGAGTCGGGCAATTCCGGAAGTATATTCTCATTTTCTGCCGGACAAACCCGGTGAGTATAACGTCATTTGAAATATTTTCATTTCGGTAAAAAGATATTAGATTATGATAATTAGCAGATGGATTTTGGAATTAACCATTCAAAATCATACAAATTCTAGTGTCATTGTATAAAAAGTTGTAGTTGAATTAACAGGTTTTTTTACTTTCATTCCTATTGGTTGATACCTATGAAAGCAAAGATGTTCTTTATATTGTGTTTGAAACGAGCATTTCATGTTTTTTTAGATTCCTAGAGCTAGAAAGTAGCGGAAGACGTGATGAGATACGGTTACGTTATAAACCCAACGACCAACAAATTCAAAGTGAAACATTCCCATTTAGACTTGCTGACGAGCATTGGCACCAAATAGCATTAACTTTTAGTGGAACTCATGTGACATTGTATATAAATTGCAGCAAAATATACGAACGGGTTATATATTCACTGGACAGAAATTTTTTGGCAGGGAATTATCTATTATCTCTATACATTGGACAAAGAAATCAACAGAGTGCATATTTTAGGGTAAGTTTGAAACGTACATGCTTAAGGGGGGGGGGGGTAATCTTTTGAAGCAAATTTATTGGGGATTTTTTGTTTGTTTGTTTGTTTTTTTAATCTAAATTCAACCTGTTGGTCGAAATGTTGGTCGGAATATAACATTGTAGCGATGACCGATAGTCTTTAAATGTTTGATCGTTTTCGGGTGTTATGTCTTTAAAATCAAGATATATGAGTCTTACTAGATTCTATGTTGAGTGAACATTTGGGTAGAGCTGCTCCGAATTTTCCCTGTGATGAACGTACTGCGTAAATTATCTTAAAAATTAAAAAATTGCAAAGTGTATATAAAATTACGGAACAATTATGTGCTCTATGTTGTTTTTTTTATTCATATCAACTTTAATACTAGGGTGGTCGTTTATAAAGGAAGAGTTACAAGCCTTGTTTGAGATAGGTGATCTACCTCCTGGATATTAAATAGCACGACATCGTCTGAACTGATTTTGACTTAACGTCTACAATACCTTAGTCTTGATAGCGCTCCAACAGTTGTGTTGTGATAAATGAGTGTACACTACATTGTTAGGTATATTCTGATTGCCCCAGCAGATGTCTGCTTATGAATGGAATTAGCAATCCAAGCCGCTGTTTATCCTCGTTTTCTAAGATAATTGATAAATATTGCGCTTTACACTGTGATCCTTATTGAATTGAACGATATGGAAAGTGTTTGATAAAACCGTGCACATTCTTAAAGCTAGACTATAGCCGTTTAACTTTCGTATTGTAAAATCTCTTAATTGAATTAAAACACGACATTAAAGCATGTAGCAACAGTTTTACAAAGGTCGAAGTGTCTTAACTCATATATATGAGCATGTATACTTCTTGACATTGTATACAGTATTGTACAAATATTTTTCCAAACCATTCAGTCAATGGTTCCACTCGCACATAATTTTAGGCAAAATCCCTGACAGAACTAAAATTCAATTTTTTTTTATTATTTATATTTTTCTTAATACTTGTACGATGTGATCATCGATTCGAAAGCTTTGTTGAATAAAAACGTTCTTCGATACAATTGCTGAAGCATACATAAAAGAAGTTCAATATGTCTTGTACTTTAAATACTATTCCCCAATTTAAAGCACATGAATGTAACTCTCGTTAAATTTGTACAGCCTCGTTCCTTAAATAGTTCAGTTCAACTTCAAAGTTTGAATCAATTCATGTTTTGCAAGGCGAGCTCATGCAATGATGCGTTTGCCAATGTTGAAATGAAAACCGATTCATAAACAATGCCAAATACCATGTGTTATTGTAGTTATTATTTATCTATTTTGACAACTGACGAACTCGATATGTGATTTTATAAAAGTACTTTTATTGAAAAATTTGGTGTGTGTAGATATGAACTTCCGTCTGATGACTGATTAAAAAAATTTCTCACCTTTTACATATTTCTTTTATTTTCGGTGAAAGAAACTATGCCAATATTAGAAAAAAGAGTAATTGTTATTTAAAAATTATAAAAAAAAGTTATCTATGAAACCAAGTTATGTTGGAAAAAAATTAAAATGATTTTTTATTATTATTTAGAAATAAATACTATGCCTCTTTGTGAAAAAGAAATTAAAAAATATTTGTTTCATATAAATTGCAAAAGAAAAAAGACTAAAATTAAAATCCTTACAAAAACTAGACGGAGATTGAACTATTAAGTGAATATCAAAACCTATTTGAATTAGACTTTCATAGAGGTCAATTTGAAGTCAAGTGTTCATACTTTTCTGTTCGAAAATCATAATTTAAACTAATGTTGTACAAGCTTGTAGACCTCGTAATCTATTTCATTTATAATTTTTATAGCGTTCATTTTTCAAAGTTCAGACTTTAATAACTAACCAATTAGCCTAATGGATACGCAGTTTTTAAAATGTAGGCTAGGTCGACTTTCGAGAACAAGTGAGATGGATTAAATAAATGAAATTTCCATGTTCCAAAATTACCCGACACTTTAAAACACGAGCGTATGGAGGGAAAACCAGATGTTGAAATCGACATTCTGAAGATAATTCGTGAAATACGTGCTGCATTCCGCAATGTTGCCAACACTTCTATTACCGAGTGCCCCCGACTTCCGGTTGTTACCTGTGTATTTTCAACATAATCACCTTGATCTTCTTGTGATTACCTTGATTTGTTTATATATTATTACATATGCCTTTCTTAAACATTTGATTACGTCATTTTCAATAAATATAACATATAGCAATCAGAGGTATTTGATAAAAGCACTGCTTACCTGGATTATTGTATACTTTGATTGATGCGACCCTCCGATAGGCCAATTATGTAAAATAATTTTAATATATAAGTTGTAGACATTAAGAATATTAAAAAAAAGTAAAAAAAAAATAATTTTGGCATTTGAGCCGTCTTCGAATGTATTTCAAATAAGAATTTAATTCATATTTATTTATGTAACTTTTCATTTTAACTTGTCTTAAATATCAAATGTTAATATAAAATATGCTTCTCTTAAAGTCGCATTTTTCCCTATTAATATCTACCCAGACAGAATTGCAGAGGTTTTTTTGTAACCCATTTATTATCAGCTTTGATTTGATGTGAAAAAGTAATAAAATTAATGTTCTAATACGAGGTATAGTCTGGCGCTTAAATTATAAATTACTTTCTCTTATAAAAACTCTTACTGTCTAGAATGTAAGCTGAATTGTTTTGCCTCACATACTACATAGTTCGAACATTATACCTTGCTATCTATTCAAGACTATCAGTCACGTTGTTTCACGTTCACGGTCAATCATCACAAGATAATATTCTGTTTGTACTGAAACTGAAACTTAAAAAGCATTGGAGAAAAAAGCGTGACCTTGTGGCAACAAGAGATACACATCAATAAAGATTTTTTTATCAAATGACATTGCATTAACATTTTGTCTGCAAATATCTTTAAAGAGAAAAAAGAAAATCGGTTGAGTCATTGTCAATGCCACAAACTTCGATCTGCGCATCTCTGCAGACTGTTGCAATAGCTAATTTTGGCGACAGTTCAATGGATATAATTCCAATACGCAGTTGTATTCTTTAATTTATCACGCTATGATTCACAGTAAGGTTTCGTTCGGGGTCATCGGTACATAACCATTTGATGTTTAATATCATATGACCGCCTCAAACGATGATGGTTCAACAAAAACAAAAAAAAGATAAAAAATGTCACTATTTTACGAAATTTTGGTCTTTTGCTTTTATGTGTGGACTTTCTACAATTTAATAAAATGGTACATTAATAAAAGGAATTAATTCAATTGCAAAATATTGATTAGCATGCATTATAGATAAATAATCAGTTTGTTTAAGTTTCGATGAATGAAAATTCTATTTCATCTATATTTGAAGTTTTGTTTATGTGTTTTACTCTACATTGCAGGGTGCTATACAAGAGTTAAAAATAGTCACCAAATCACATGGGTATTTAGTTCAGTGTCCGGAACAAAATACAAGTAAGGAATATTTATTATATTTTTCATGATCATGTTGTTTACATGACAGTATAACAATGTGTGAAAATAACAAATTTGAAACCACCTTGAACGTTGCTAAGCGCTAATAAACCTAATTAGTTCGATGACAATATTTTTGTAATGAATATTACCGATCTTCAATATTTAAATGGTGTTGACAGTATATAGCTGAACATTATGAATTATCCACAGACCAGAAAGATGATGCATACGACGGATGTTGTTTATTTTAAATCAATCAACCTTCATTATCAATTCAAAATTCATTTGAACATAATGCAATAATAGTTAAAAGCCAATTCATATCTTCCTTTTTTATTTAGTTTTGTTTCTTAATTGATTGCTTTAAAATTTGGATTGTCAGCAAATAGTTTCAGTACAGTCACTTCGTGCAAAGACCCACCTGTTGTGCTTTATGTTCCGTTCATGTTATTTTTTGCTTCAAATAACAAAACAATCTTAACAAGATGTTACAAAAGCTCCATCAATTTTATCTCGTCTGAAATTTCGTACCTACCCACTCATTGTGATCATTATTCAAGCACCACTTGCAGCCACAGCTCTTGTTTCTGAATATTGCAACCCTGCCACACACATTTAGACATCATAAACATTGGAAATCAGTCATATTGATGGGTTCTTTACCTATCTTTATTACATTCTAGCAATTGAGGCCTTACAGAAGTGAAATTAGATTATTAAACATTTTCAAAATTCAACTTATTTTTCAAATCTCAACGCAGGAAGCACATGAAATAGTTATCTTTATTGCAGATTATAATAAGTAGATTTTATATTATTAGAAATTTATTATTTTGAACTACCTGTATGATTAAAAAGCAGACGAAAAAATCGAGGGAAATGATTCACTGATATGCTTTTTGTCTGAAATCTTTAGAGATATATTTTCTAAATCTGAACTAATCTGAACTCAATATTTTTTTATCGTTACATTGAGAAAAAAAGTAAACTGTATGTTTTCAATGGTTTTTCTATGGAAACAAGATAAATTTTGTTGATTCTTTTAACGTGCCCCGCGTGTGTTGAAGTTTGTATAATATCTGAAGTATATCATCTTTTAATCAGAATTTCTTGTGACTTTCATCTCTGCTCTGATACATTTTTTTCTATTCCTTCTGGAATCTTAAACTCTTAAACTTTAAGATACATGAAACAAAAAGTTAGAGCAATGCACTATGATAAATTCATTTGTGCAGCTCGTAAATAAACAAATAAACTACAAATACACACTTCCCTCTAATTTTAGCACAATTAATCTACTATTTATCCCCTTTTTTTAAAGAAACATTTTTCTTTTATTTTCAGGGTGTCCAACTTGTGCTCAATTCCAATCTTTGCAAAGCAGAATGAAAGAAATGTATTCCCTATACCAAAATCTTTCAATAAAGGTAATAATGCATATAATCATTTACTTGTTTGGTAGCATTTTCCAGCAGATATACTGTTGATGTCTAACTTTTTGTATTTTGATATTGTTTTCACTCTGTCCTTACATTAAGACAGACTCATAACACATTTAAAGCAGCCAATGTATGTTAATTATTCTAAGTTGGACAAATTTCAGACATTTTCTGCGAAATTAGATACATCTAAGTTATTTTAAAAAAAAAGAAAGAAGACAACTATACCACAATATGACAATACTGTGACAAAATGTAATCAACTTAACATATAAATATGTCGGTTTAATTTTGAAATTTTGAAGAAAAAAAACACTAGACAACAAATGTTTTTTAAAAAAGATGGTAAACGACATGCTATTGTTGTAACGTCTTCTGTAAAGGTAGTTGCATAGCTTGTGTCAATCCAAAACAATTCATCATAACCGTGAAATAATAAAATGTGTTTTCCATCCCTTAAAAGATAATTGACTTTTCTTGACTGTAAGCTAAATAAATCTATGTAATTTGAAACGCCATACCTGACAATTTTCCTTATAAAAATCTTTTGGAAGAATGTTTGTATGCACCTAACTGTTTTAAGGTGATAATGTTGTTGTTATTGTGATAGCTTCTCCAAGCAGAGGAGCGAATATCGGGTCTCGAGCAATGTCAATGTTTGAAGAGCTGTCACCAAAATGGTACAGAGAGAAAAGAGGGAGAGTTGTGGCAAATGGACCAGTGTACAATATGCATGTGTAGGGTAAGTAATCAATTCTTCAATGCTTTCATTTAATAAACCTTCAGACCTTTACGTTGACAAGCTTTCTGTGAATATTGCACAAAATAATATGTTTATACGGGAAACACCTGTAATCTTAAAGCATTAGTTTATCTGTTTGCATGAAACATGTCATTCTTTCCTTGGCAGCACTTTTATATAATGGATAGATAGATATATTCTGTCACAAAAGTACTTCTAAAAGGCATTCTGCCTAATTTTCTTTTATAAAAGGAATTCTGAGGCATACTCTTACACTAAGAAATGTAGACGAATGATTCCAGGTTTCTTCACTTTTGCAGAACTCCAAATTCCACGTCCTTATTTATTTATTGGATAATTTATTTTGTGTAAGAAAATTTAAGATGAACGGTAGCTTGCACCAACAACTACCGTCAATATGCAGGCTTAATTAAGCCGAGCCTGTTTTTCATTTTCGATTTTGTCTATTTTTGGCGTTCTTTAGGGGTTCCGTTTTTCGGTTTGTACTTTCTTTGTACATTGGTTAATAGGTACAAGTGGCACAATAGTTTATAGATTGCATTCATTATCTATCAAGCTATTGCATCAAATGTTTGAAACAATGACCATGTGGGGATAACAATACCTAAATTAAGAATACTTATAACTCGAAGATTGAGTCTGTTACCGAAAATTAATAACTTTGCCATCAATGTAGTGCCAGGCCAGTCTGCACTTTCGTGCAGTCTGGTGAGGACTTTTACTGTTAGATGACTAACTTTAAAGTTTCATCTAAATAACCGTACAATTTATAATGGACAGTTCCAAAACTGGAAACCGGATAAGTCAATTAAATAAATTCAGCAGATCAAGTCTTTACCATCATACCCATAGCTTTCGTTTGTAATTGATGAATACTTTATTTCATTTTTTCCTCAATAAGCCCTCAATTCAATATAGTATGTTATAAAGGTTTCTGTCAATGTGTTTTTATATACACAAAAACGAATTCTAAGTCCATCCCATATTGTGTTCTTTTACACCTTTTAATGGAGGAAGTATTTGATGCTAACTTTGTAGACTTTATACCACTTCTGTTCATACCACAGTAGATATGATATTTTAAAGATAACTTCATTGAATCATCCTTATCATTCAATCGTCTAGGTAATGTTCAGAAGTGCGGCTAGTTTTTGCTTGATTGATGGACAGATTATAGCCTTGTATGAAAGAAGATAACGCATTTTGTTTTCCCTATCATGTGATTTTCTCCACGTTTCTTTGCAATGTGATTTGTTATATCAGTGGTCGCGGAATATAAATATAAAATTCTACTTACACAACTGCTCATTCATCACATTAGCTACATTACATTACTTTCCGCATACCTAACTAGATTCCGGATATACAGGTGTCTTTTTAAATCCAATAGAAACGATTTAAGTTTTTGTTTGGGTTTTTTATATACTTTTTAGTACTTTAAATATACGGGTCTAAATTTATTGCAATGATCTGTTAAACGGAATTCCAATATATTTCCCTGTAATTGGATGTTGCAGTAGTATATGTCTATCATCTTTAGAAAGAAGACTTCAGTTTTGGCACGCTGACTAACCTCATGGTGCAACAGTTATATTTGTTTTACCTTTGATAAGAAAGAAAACTATCATATTGTACAAACAGTTAATGAAGATAAGTCGATGTTTTTGAAATACTATACATAACTGTTATAAGCATGTGGGATACATATTTCTTTTTTAACTAATCTGCAGTACTCCATGGCCTTGTTAAAAAATATAGAAACGTTTATTTTCTTTCACAATGCGATGTGTTGAGTGCCAGTGATATTGAAATTTCTTAAAATTAGTATAACATTTTTAATACTTTTTTTAAGATGTTTTTTATCAACATCTTACTTTAAATACAAACTTAGAGTCGCAACAAAGACAATAAGGACCCTTACAATGCTCATTGAAAGTTGAAAGTTAATACAATAAAATCTATCAATTTTCTCTCTATTTCACAATTTTCTTTACTAAAGACATGGTACAATGTATATGATATACACTGTGAGGTATTCAGCTTTCCTGTAAAGTTAGTTGTAGACAGCTTCTTAACCGGTATAATAATACAGAAAACCAGTGATTCTTATTGTGAATATGAAAAAATATAAACTTACAACGTTTAACAGCTGCACAATAAATACATGTATTGTAATCTGTTAAAATATGAACCAACACAAATCAATATTTTTAATTTTATCTTACTTAATAGCAGGCTTTCAGACACTATTAATGAATCAAAAACTGATTTTGGTATCAAGGAATATCAGTTTTGATTTGCCCTAAGTAGCAATCGTATTTGTCAATTTGTAAATTTGTCATTGCCTAATTGTCACTATTTTTATATAAAAATCGTGTTACATAAGGTGATCTATTGTTAAAGATACTCAGAACTCATTCCGTTCATTAGGTGTTTAATGAGTAAATATTGAACTTTCTTATACAAAAAAGACGTTATAAATGACATTTGACTGTTTATGTTGCATTATGAGAGAGCTGTACGTAGGTCGATACTTATCTTGCGTCTAGAACAGTAGACTTTAGAGTAAATGATACGAAAGAAGGGGTGCATGATAAGAAGGGAGGGGAATATGATACGAAGGGAGGGGTAAATGATATGAATGGAGGTTTATTTGATACGAAGGGAAGAGTAAATGATATGAAGGAAGGGGAAAATGATATGATCGGAGGGGTATATGATACGAAGGAAGGGGCAAATGATACGGAGGGAGGGGTATTTGGCACGGAGGGGTATAACTATCTATCATGTGTTCAACAATAAATCTCAAAATTAGAATATTCCATGATAGTGTTTGTTGAACTTAAAATACAATTAATGAATAAAAAAATAATTTAAATATACAATTTATCATAAAAATGTTTGCTACATGTGAAATTCAAATTATTGAACAAATAACATAGAGAATGAGAATTCGTGATCCCATTAACCTGTGCTTATAAAGAACAATCTGACAGACATTTAACCAATGCAATCATGCAGTCATTTATTTCAAATTTAGGTCAAATCTTCCATTCATATAATTATATAGTGCAACTAAGACATTAGTGAAGACCTCCCAGTGAATGCAGACACGAATATAGGACGTGTTTGGTCTGTTATAGAGATTACTGCGTTCCATTCCAAAAATACTGACACCACTATATAACAGTTTACATAAAATCTCTTTGAACTTGCACGCGTTGCTTCGCCAGAGGAACGTTATATTTCAAAGTGTATTTGTGGCATTTATTGAGAATAGATTTCTGTAACGTAAGCAAAAGAAATGAGCATTCAATTAGACATAGAATCATGTACCTTTAAATAAACAAAAATACCTGATATTTAAATTGTCATTTATTCTTACATTCCTGTCTGGGAATGATCAATGGGCGAATGAATGAATGAGCGAACGAACGAACGAAGGAAGGTACAACAAACGAACAAGCAGACAGACGAACGAGTGGATTATAAGAACTTTGTTTAAGATTTAAGATTTAAGTTTTTTTAACATCATGCTGATTTTATCGGTCTGAGAAAAGATCAACTTAAAGCTGTGACCCAAAGAACGATATATTTTTCAACATACTGGACATTCTGGCGTAATATTCTTTTACTTCATACATGCATGTCAATGTCTGAATATTGAGTAGTTTTGAAACAACCTAAACCATAAAAAACAGAATCCCTAAAGAAAGCCAAAGATCTAAAAAGAGAAAATGTTGCAGGCTCGGTTTGATTGAGCCTGTTCTTGGACGTTAGTGATAATTGCAAGCTACCGTACACGCCCACTAGTCGTGCCTCCTTATTGAACACTTGTATTTAAAGAAAAATGGTAAACAGGCAAGTCAAACATGTAATTATGTACACACTACTATCTAGACTTTTGTATATCTTACTAATGTTCTGTAGCATTCCATATACTCCACAAAATCAATATTCATGTTCAGCATTGTGCTTTACTGCACGTGTCTAAAAATAAATTTAATAGATATTCAAAAGTGAGGTATCAATTTAAAATTATTTGATTTATATTGTGTGGTAAATATTTTACCTGGTAATAATACACAAATATACAACAAAAGATGATGTAAAGATGATGTTTTAAGATTTTTAAGATATATACTGTATATTTTGCTGAGCTGAGAAACCACCAATTCACTGCCAATACATGTTATAATTATACTTTGATATAGCATCAAGAACAAATATAACAAATATTATATTATATATCATATAAAAATTATTATTTTATTAAATTATAATCAAAGTTTAAACTAGACAATATATTGTCTTGCACATTACATACCTCCAAATGTAAGTTAACATTACACTTTTCAGTCTGAGTGTCTGGTCTATAAACAACAATGCTGTGTATGAGATTCATAAAGAGGAACAATTACTTACGCCGAAGTGTAAATTGCGTTTATGTCTTCGTATAAACATCAAAACAATAAAGTTTTAACTGTATATATAACATATTTATAACCATAAGAATATAATTTTCAGAATGGAACGATAGAGTGCCGTAATGTTGATTGTCTCCCTGTAGACTGCCCTCACCCAGTGAACAGAGATGGCGAATGTTGTCCTGTTTGTTTAAGTAAGTGTATTATTTTATACCAATGGACACATTTGATGCATACAGAATTTAGAAAATCCTAGAGTTTAAGCAACTGTGAATAAAGATGCAAAACAGCGCATTGTAAAGGTTTGGAAAAAAATATTTCAGAACTTGAATATTTTATAAATATAAGCTAAATTGTGTCATTGAAGTAACAAGGATATCATTTTACCGGTTTACACATGCAGAAATACCAAAATGTAAGCAGCTATTTTATATGAATAATTAACTGAACTTCATTAATATTAATTGATAACAAAAACAATTTCTTTTTTGAATGGAAAATTAATTTATGTTAACTAATAACGAAAAGTGTGTTTTCCCTAAATTGCAAAGTTGGTCAGCATTATAAAATTAATCATTAAAAAAAGTATAAAAATCATAGAAAATCATATTATTTATAAGTTGGGTATGTAATAGAAAGAGCACCGAAACACGAGGTTATCTGATTTATACGAGGGGCGTAGCCCCCCGAGTATTAATCAGATTACCGAGTGTTTTGGTGTTCTTTCTCTTTTGTATCATAGTCAAACATAAAAACACGTTCCCTGTTGTTACAATATGAAACCCCGGCAAAAATGAACCAATGAACGAGCATCTAAATATGACATTTCTGTCGATTTCACTTTCACTGCCGTCACAATATGTAAACCCTAGCAAAAATGAGCCAATCAATGGGCATGCTCTGGAGTGCGGGTAACTAATACCCGCACTCCAGTTAACGCACTGTGCATGTATATGTATACGATTTAACCCTGACACATTTTCAACAGAAAGGTCTCCAAACTATGATACAAATTATTGTATTGAACGCATTCAGAGAAAGCAATATGAGCACGGATTGAGATAAGGGGATTTCTACTGGCTTTTCAAGATGGAAAAGAAAGTGATCAGTGAAACAGATCTTGACAAATCAGTGTAGATTTACTTCTTATGATTCATAAACCGAATTCATAAGAACATATCTCTTTCTATGTAACATCAAAGACATCCTCTTTCACTCAGAGATAACAGGAAAACAGTTTCTGAGAACCATACAAAAAGATAAATACGATCGTCTAGACTTTGCTACTAGATTGTGTCTCCTTTTGATACATTCTGTATTGATTGTGTGTTATTTATGACGATATCGTTCAAATAGTTGATGGTTCAGGGCAATAGACGGGAAGCTATTTAGGAAATAACTATAGAGTTCTATAATGGGTTTAATTTCGTCATTTTTATTTTCCACAATAGAAAGCAAGAGGAAAAATGCCATAAAAGATATTGTCTGTATTAAATGGTTTTATGATAAATAATGTCTGATATTATTGTTAGCCTTTTTTCATTAAAGACGGAATAGTCTAAGGTTTAAATCATTGCATTTGACTATTGTGTGGCAATAGACCAAATCTATTTCACTTCATGTCATTATGGTACATCCTTTCATTCATAGTTCATTAAATTGTTTCATGGGATATAGTACTGTTTTATATGCAACTAAACACACCAATTTAATAGTACATGTATTTTGATTTTGTGCACCACAAACATGAAATGTTAACTTAATTATCATTACCTGCTTAAAAGTTATGGCATTTTTTCGACCACGTTTATTACAGCTACAAAAGGTTTATTATCCGTATTTTCTTTTTTACAGCAAACTGCTATTACAGTGGGAAATATTATGAACATGGTGATGCGATGAGTCCAAAGATGTGTGTGACGTGTACATGTGATGTAAGTTTATGAATTTATATCATATTTTGTTTGATAATGATTAAAGTATTTTCATGAATTATAGAAAAAATATCAGAAGATACATCCATAAATGTGTTTAGTTTTTTAAACATATAGTTCCAATGAATTTTTATATTGCTCTTCTTTCACAATGTTAGGATAGGGGAAATACAACTCATAATTCATGGGAATATGTTTTAATTAGTTGGTCCTTTTATAGGGAATTTGCAATATTTCCCTTGTTATGTGGGTCATGAACAGAATGATGACCAATCGTGTTCAGGCTTCAAAGACAGTTATAGCTATAATCAAACACCTTTTTCGAAAAAAATTAAAATTTTCAAATGACAATAAACTCCTGTTATTATCATATCTATGGCTAGCTTATTGCTAAGACTTTCTCGAGTACTCAAACTAACAATGTATACATAGAAGAGCAGTGATCTAGTGGATCATGGGTGTATGCCTTACTGGTGTACAGTTTTGATAAGTTCCACGGAGCAGACTGGAGAGTCGTTCAAATAGGCTTTAAGCAGCTAAGCATAAACAGTTTAAATTAGTCGCTTTACCTTATTTTCGCCGAGGTTATTGGCGTCCGCGCCGAAGCGCGACGCCCCTTATGGAATGAAATCAGATTTTGTGAAAGGGCAATTGCAACTTCTCGGGCCTTTTCGTCGGTCATAATAGCCGATCATTCCGATTGGTATGAGGGTGTTTGATTATCAAAAATGAAATGTCGCGATATGTACAATGAATAGCGAACTGGAGAATTTCGCAATGCAAACATATTCAAATGAAATTATCTTATCCGTCAATTAATCTTCGGGTTTTTTTATTAGTACACAGTGGGTTATTATGTATTGCTGTACCTATAAATAGAATGATGACTTTAACATTGTGAAAGTCCGAAAATCTATTTATAGAAGTAGTTTTAGTTTAACGAAACGGTCATTCGTGTCACGCTATGGTAATAAATAACGAACTGGAGAATTTTGCAGGAAATGAAATGCAAACATATTATGTCTTTCGTCCGGCCATTCATAAATATTAAACAATTCTGGTAAAAACCAATTAACCATTGAAAAGTTTATAAGAATATCTTGTCATCAGATGTCTACTAGTTCATCTTCACTTGCTGCATTTGTTGCTTGGACGCCCTTTGATGCTTTGTATCAATGCTTTTCTTGTGGTTACATGTAATTAAAACATGGTGTTCGTTGTTTGTGCTATGGTTATAAACATAACTAACTGATTTCTATATCTTCTAGAATGGTGTTATGTTGTGTGAGAGACAGGATCCAGAGACAACATGTCCAAAATTGGACTGTGAAGCCAGTGAAATTATATATGTACAGAATGAATGCTGCCCGATATGCCGAGGTATTCTAACTATATCAAAGCTTTATATAAAAAATCGATTTAATCCATTCATCCAATAATAAATCAGTTCTGACAATTTTTATAAAAAAAAGTAGAAATATTTCTTATTTAGAGAATTTAAGATATTTTTGGCACGAACATTTCACCCTGCATCTCACAAAAATGAACAGATTTTTATAGACATTACATACGAATACTGAATACAATAGTTATCGTACAACAACGTTGTATGTTTGTTTATACAAAAGACCCTGAAAATGTTTCAGTCTAAATAAAAGCCTAACAAATAGAAAATACAACGATAAATAAACTATATATAAAATTTTGAATCCTGTTAGATGAATAAATATTTATATTTTTAAAACGATTATTCTGCCAGTCTTGTCGAACAATTGTTGGGGACGAGTAAAGATCCATTTTTTCAAGGCAGTGATCAACCAATGAATTTTCATGTTGAGTTTTTTTAAGCAATGACAGAAAGCAGAATTTTGTTTACCCGTCTGAATGTTGTACTTAACTTTGAAAGAGTGAGCAAATTTTGTTTGAATTTTATGGTTCACATAAAATTAAACACTTGTTTCTTTATGCGTATTTGTATATTTTTTTCCAAGGTACCGACTTTTGTGCTCTCGGCAACGATTGCCATGGGAATTCTACCTGTGTTAATTTGGCAACAAAATATGCTTGTCAGTGTAAACATGGTTTCCAAGGGAACGGAAAACAGTGTGAAGGTAACCATTTTTAGTTAATGTTTAAACATGGTATCGTAAAATCCTGATTTTCAATGTGACACATAAACAGTTATCATAGGTATTATTTTACAATATGAAAACTTTTTTATATACAAAAATTGTGAGTACAGCAGATCGATTTTCTTTTTTATAGTATCAAATATGTGTTATATATGTACTGTTCAAAAGTCATTGTGACGACCTTGTTAAACACATCCTCAAAGACATCGTTATATCATATTTCATACAAAAAGTGAGTAATGATTGTCAGTGTCTTTTCTTTCAGACATTGATGAATGTTTACAAGTTGGCGGGAAACATGGCCACCATTGTCACAGAGATCAAAAATGTGTGAATACGATTGGTTCTTATAAATGCACGTGTATGTCGGGACATGAACAGAATGAAGACCAATCGTGTTCAGGTATTTCTAGTGGACAGATTTCACATAAATATGTCACGTGGTATCGGACTTGGAAACATATTGTGATCATTGTGTGGATGTGCCTTTTAGTGCATCATGTAAGATGATCAAAAGTGAAATATATATATATAACTTTTATTATAAAAAAATGTATAAAATGTGTAATGATATGAATGACATAAAAGTGTGATAGTGCATTCATCGAAAGTTTAAGTTTTCTGTATCATAGCGATGTACATATTTTGTGTAATATTCATCAGAGTACTTGATCACATGTGTCAGAAAGCACAATTAAGTTTGTTAATGTAAATTATTATGGAAAAATCTATTTATAGACTTATGTATCATAGAAAGTACATGATATTTGTATCGTTATTTGATTTATAAAAAAGCGATGTTAAATGCAATGTAAGAACACTTGTCGTTTCTACCTCTGGATATGATCTGTAAATATAGGGAAAATAAATCCCTTAAAACTTCCTTGTTGCTCATTGTTATTTGTAAAAGTTAGTTTTGATAATAAAAGATGAAGGATATGCATTTCCGGAAATTCTAAGATGCCCAAAATAGTTTTGTTAAGTCCAAGTCAATTGTATTTGAAAAGGAAATGATTTTGTTTTCTGAAAACCAAGAATAATGCTAAATTGTTCTAATACAAGTTTGCTTCTAAACAAAACATAAAGGTTAACAGAAAGAAAGAAGTTGGGATGTTATTGAACTCGCATGAGTCCAAAGTGGAGAGAGCTCTCATACTTGGAAATCATAACCTATTTATCACAATTATACATTCAAACATTTACCTACCTGCTTGCTCTTGAATTGATCGCATAATTCTTCAATAAACATATAGTCAACTTTCTCTTACACAGATGGTTTCAATCAGCAAATAATCTGAACATACTTAGAAACCTATAAATATTTAAAAACAATAGACAAAACCATGCAAACAAAATAAAACTAAGATTAGTGGTGCGTTAAATTTTCCCAAAGCAATAATGAATTCACCTGCAATATATAGCAACCAATAATTTCTGGTCACTAAATCCAATAAAAACTTTAATTTAAAAAGAAACAAAACGGTAAGAAAATATGTTACGTATTAAATTGTATAAAGCGGTAAAATACCTTTAATACCTGTAAAGGACAGGTGTTTGTGCTTGTATGACAGCTATGCACTAATAGATTTTAATTGGATTTTTGCATGCCTCCGTGTTTAAAGTGGTGTTTTTCAAGCTACAAGTGGTATCATTGAATTATACTTCAGTTTATGCGTTCCAGTCAATCTCGAATGTTTCTTACACTATTTACATAAGAGCTTTCTTACAATTACTGGCTGGGTGATATTGCTTGTGCGGTTTTGCATGGAATATGAAGAATGTAAAACTGGCAATTTTAAGTTGTAAGGTGCCAGCATTGTGAAGAGTGTGTGAATGAATCAATACAAGTGTGCCTGAATGTTTACCTTTTTATTTTGGTTGGTAGTTGTATCTGACTTGAAAAGAAATTTATTTAAATTCCTGACATTCAATCATTGGTTTGTACATTATAAGCATGAAGTATATTTCACTTTTGAACCATCTTATTAACTGTGTATCTGCTTAATTCTAACAAAGCAATGTTGCTTGATACTTATGTTATCTTGAATTTTCTTTTCTTCTTTTGCAAACAACGTCAGCACGAAATATAACAGTCTTTCTTTTTGCTTTGCTTTGTTCAACAAGTTCCTACCAGCCTAACACAACGAGGTTTTGCAGCATGTTGTATAGCTTCTCCAGCAAATAATTTTAAAATGGATTAAAAATCAAAACAAAAACGAACTAACAGCTTTAATTCTAATTCCGCATTTGTTTGCGTTTTGAAATCAGCATGTGCATACAAGTATACACGTAGAGTCAAATATACTGCATGGTAAAAGTATATTATTACTTGTCAGAAAAAGTTGAATACATTTTCGTGCATTTTTATTCTTAAGTATACAATGTATTCGTTATGGCTTTGGTAGAAACATTTCAGCTTTTTGTACAAATTTACATTAAACACGAAATGTCAAATATAGCAATAGCATCGAGGAGACAAAACTGGTAAGATACGTTCATTCAAAACAAAGATTATGCGAGTAACTTAGTTAATGAGTATAATAGTCGAGAAGAAAACAGATAAATAGCAGAAACTACTACTAAGTACCAAGGTATTTGTCAAGTGTACAGTAGATAAAATATTCAACTATTCAATTTGATTTACTTTTACTTTTATTTTATAATAACCAATATATTAATAGTTTGCATTTTCATTAAAATCAGTATTGATCTATAAACCGGCAACTGTGTTGTTAAAATCTTAAACTAAAATTCTGTCAGATTTCATATCAAACACATTGTTGCATATCATGTATGTATTAAAATCCTTTATCTAATTAGATTACAGTAGTTTAAATTGATAAGTTTTAAAACATTATATTATTGTATAAGAACAAAACTTTATTAAAGAAAACTATAAAATAAAATTTGTTTGCGCAAAGAAGATGGCTTATTTGTAGTTGATTGATTATTAATCTAATTACATGTCAAATTACTGAATAATTTCAATGCAATGTGTATCAACGAATTAAACTATATATATATATATATATATATATATATATATATATATATATATATATATATATATATATATATATATATATATATATATATATATATATATATATATATAAAAATCATGACCCTTTTTTACTCTGAACAAACGACATCCTGTGAGGTTTTTTGTCCTCTTTATTATCTAATATATCACATACTTTGTGAACACCTGGATAATTTTATTATCGTACCATCCACGTATGCGACGTTGTTTTAGCTGTCAACTTCATCACATTGCAAATAAACGTCACTGTCTGATTCCAAAGCTGGAGTCAGCCACCTGTTACCAACTATCAGATACAACGCGACATTGACTGTGAATTACAGGTCAATTAATGTAAAACAAATGATATGTGGCAGATGGAAAACACTCCTTAAGTTATTGGCTGACAGAGCCTTTACATCGGTTTCAATAAGTTTCCAACTGAATTATGTAAAATACTTTGAATAATTATGTGCCGCGGGCAATGGTTTTCAGCTTCTACATCTTAACAAATTGACTTGCACTGGATCATCCGGAAAAGCTTGACTCACGTCAAGCGATTGCAACATGGTAATTGTAATAATATTCTTAAAGCATACATGGTTTTAACGTAAGTTATTATATAATAAATGCATTTGAAAAATGTGTCTGTAATATATCTATTGCCAGAAGCAGTTGTTTTGTGAAGATTTGATTGGTCAAAGTTGAAGTTTTTTTCTAATCGGTATTGCATAATTAATCAGTGGTAGATGGGGAATTATTAACATCACAAATTAAATTCCATTATTCAAAACAGCCTTATGTTTATTTTTTTACTTACCAAGACATGATGTTAACAACAAGGCTAATTAACAAAGTGACCTTTATCAGGCATAAATGTTTGTACCTTCATGCCATCTTAACTCGTTTGACAGTCTCTTTAATAGATGGTTACAAATCTCTCAGACTCAACTTTAGGTGTAATATTCACATTACATAATAACGATAATATATGTAGTAATTAATGAAATTCGAATTCAATTACTAAATAATTGTAAGTTTACCCTAAAATATTGTAAGGTTGAATAAACATAGTAAAAATAAGTGGTGTAATCGATTAATCAGACTAGCTTGCAATGATACTGCAAAAACAGCAAATGAAGGAAGAAAAACTCACCCTCAAGAGATCAAGTTTAAACTATGTTATAAACCGGGTACATATTTTGATCATTGATGTGCATATTTAATTTTGAATACTCAGATCAATCATCGGGTACAATGGAATACTGATATAAATGTAAATGCAATTTATTTATAATTTTAATTGTGAATCCGCTGCCCAAGCATCAGTTAACTGGTATTCAGAGCAGTATTTAATCAAATCATCAATACAATTGTTGTAATCAATGATCCCGAAGGACTTTGAAAATAACACGATACAGCGATGGGAGTACTGGATAATATTTTATAACTCTACAACGGTTGTTATTAACTCCCTTGATAGCAGTGCAAGAAATGAAAATCAAGACCCGGTTTAATTGAGTGTGTGCATGCACTTTATAGATAATCATACATTGCCTTGAAGTGACCTTGAAGGTTTCGAAAACATGTCTTTATACTACAGTATCTGAAATACATAAAATATACAACTATTCACACAAAAGTAGAAAGGAAATCAACACAAGATAGAATAATGTATAAAACTGTAGAGTCAGTAAGGCACAACGATCGTTCAGCTCAACTAGTCAGTTTTGCAATAACTTTTACAGAAAGGTCAAAATGGCAATATATATGTCTAGTCCTTTGATCTCTGCAGGTAAACAAATTACTTTTGATTATAGCTGTAGTATGATGACACTGTTTATGTTTCTACTAATTAACCTTTCTGTGAACATTGCAGAGATATGAATGGAAAGCTTGTCCAAAAGGACTAAAAACATGAATGGAATGCAATGCTATGTAGCCGATCTTTCTTTCTGTTTTATTAGGTCTGAAATGAATTAGCGCGATATTATATTTTATTGTAAAACAGAAATTGAAATGTTTCCCTCTCTTTACCATGTATGTTCCTATGTTTAAGTGTTAGTCTGGACAGAGTTTTATGTAGTATTGCGAATATATAGCTTATTAAATATTATGTATATACGTCATATGTAATAAAAGTATATCTATGATGGATATAAATATTATGGAAAGCAAATTCAGTCCCGTAATTTTCAACATGATTAATGTATTATAATACACGTAATATACTAAAACATACTTCGGTGTGCTAAGTGCAAATGGTTCATGCTTTTCTTTTTTTATAACTTTATCAAAATCCTGTCATTCAAATATGTAGGAAAACATTGAAAGATGTTTTTTTTAAAGATTTTGTTTACAGATGTATATTGAAAACATTTACAGCTACTAAGAGTGCAAACGATTTTTTCTGGCAAAATATTTCGTTTAATTTCACACTATTTAGTCGTGATGAAACACAATTAAAATGTAAGTAAAGTATCTAAATTCAAAAAGTTAAGATAGCCAATTAATAAGTATACGTAGCAGGAAAATATTTTAGATTAAAACGCCAAATATCTGAAACAAAGGCTCCCATAATAAAGCTTCAAAGACACCATAATAAAGTTTATACATTTCTAGTAGTTTCCCGTCTAGATGTTTGTTTCATTGATATTAATGTACGAATCAAATGCTGTAGAAACATTACCTTGTGTTTCATTTAAATGTAAAACAATTAAGTGTACCTAACCTAAGATTAATGAATTGCATTGATGACGTAGGCATTTCTATTATTTTCGATGCACATGTACGTATTTTATCTGAAAGTCCAATGTACATGATTTAAGATTGCTGCCAGATTACAGTGTGTATAAATGTCGCAGGAAGATTCCAAGCCTCGACTCAGACACCTGTTTACCACCACCTAAGAGGGAGAATGTGGGATGATAGAGAAACTGATGTGTTGAAGAGACCTTTGATAGTGTATTACAGTCCAATTTATCGTGTTTTTAGAATACCTTGCAAGAGATGGAAGTAATAATCTCAGTAAAAGTCAGTAATGAAACAATAAATGTTATACCGCCTCTCATCAAAGATAAGAACGCTGCATAGAAGACAAATTGAATTGTAATATCCAGGATGTACCATTAATTATTGTCACTCCGACCAAAGTTCAAAGACAAAAACAAATAAAACAAAGATCATTACCATTCTAGTGATCTTTAAAAATAGTATTTTAAATAAAGTAAGGAAACAGCAAAATTAGATAAATAACGTGTTATCAACCCCAATAAGTGATACTTTTACACAATAAATGAATCATCGTTTAAACTTCATTAATAATAAGAAAATATTTAATTCTTTAGGAAAAGTTTGTCTATGATACTTGAAGCGTTTTTATGGCGGTATGCAAGAAATGCAAGGACCAACTGAATAGGACTGAATCAAAATGCTAAAGTACTTTAAAAATCAATTAAACCGTCTATTTAATCGACATTGCTCTAAACTGAAAACACTCGTTCTTAATAATTTAAGAATGAACCAAACACTGTGAAAATTTGCCACATTATTGAGTGTCTGATTCTTTATAGATGTGTTACACACAGGAAAATTAGGGGAGAATATTATTCATTGTACCTGCTATGTACGTCAAACATTGTTCTGTAATTTTACTGCATATATGTTCTTTGATCTCAGGAAGTTAACTAATTGGGTAGGTGTAACCTTTTAGCATGATGACAACTGTTGGGCAATTGATGTTTCATTCTTAGTGATTGAATGAATAAAGGAGTATATCAGATAATTGGACGCATTTCTAACTGATCTTTGCGTACATTAGATGTGTCATAATAAATGATATAATAATGCTTATTTTATTTCGTAGACATGTTATCAAGATCCTGTGTTAGTAATATTTTGCCTAGTTTTGTTTGCACTTCCATTTTAGCTCTTCTGTGAAATAATTTGAGCCGCGCCATGACAAAATCAACATAATGGGTTTACGACCAGCATGGATCCAGACCAGCCTGCGCATCCGCGCAGTCTGATCAGGATCCATGCTGTTCGCTATCAGTTTCTCTACTTGTTATAGGGTTTGTAAGCGAACAGCATGGATTCTGATCAAACTGCGCGGATGCGCAGGCTGGTCTGGATCCATGCTGGTCGTAAACCCATAATGTTGGTTTTGTCATGACGCGGCTCATTTCTTGTATCTCTAAGATTATACATGTATTTCCCACCACATAAAATATTTATTTCATACCACTCGATGAAAATAAATCATGTATTTATAGAAAAAAACTTGAATATCCTCTCTTTCTATATATATTTTAATTCAAACTTTCAAAGTATGTTTTACGAACTTACATAGACACATGAGTTGCAAACAATGCGATGTAATTACACAAAGGAAGTGAACAACGGTATTGGGCTGGTCTTGTTATTTATCCAAAAGTTAATATAAGCAGAGGTATTTAAACGTCTTTGGGCGATAAGGTTATTGTCTATAAACGTAAATTACTTATATGGTTTGAACATTTGTTTTAAAAAAAAAACCCGATAAAATTGTGAAATATAACTTCAATGAACCATATAAAGTGCTTACCATACTTTGCTTAGAATGACGAACAGGGTATGTTTTAGATTAAAGGATTTTTCGAGTGTCTGTGTATACCTGAACATCATTTACAAATTTCTATATGATAATATTCAAATGATATGCATAGAGGAAGAACATCACGCTTTTCCTGGAAAATAAAACCTGCAGTATTGATATGATTTTTTTTGTTTTGTAATCTAATATAATTTTTTTTTCATATTTAAATATGCACATTTAAGTGTTTCATACCTTCCGCACATGTTGATGTGATGATGTACTTACTTTCAAATAAAATAAGAACTGAAGTAACTTGGAATTCGAGAACAGTAGAAGATACTTAAAACTAAAATTAACACTTCACTTTTTGCTGAGGTACTGCGTGCAAATTCCAAAATGAGGCGCGTTTACTACTTGAATTAGAATGAAGATATCCTATCTTTCAAGTAGAACATTTATTTTATCAGGTTATTAAGGAATACAAAACATAAATTTATGACATTAACACTATAGAGAGTGCAAATTATATTTATTTCTATCTGCTATCTTTGCTTATATTCAATTTTAATGCGCAGAAAAAATTATAAAAGAATTATACCGTATAACAATTATATCTTACGTATTCCATTATCATTTAGTATATGTATACGATTTGCAAAAATAAAATCTACGAAAGTGAGGTTTTAACAATAAACAAATGCATATATTTTGAACACAGGTAACCGGGGAAAGATGTTGCAATAATGTTTGTTATCTACATTATGTATATGCTATTGAAACTATGCTATCTGTAAATATTGCTTTGTATCTTGAGAACATATTGCTTTAAATGGAAATGTAGTGTATCAAATATTTTAAATCATCATGATTAACATATTCCTATTATCTCGGCATTACAATGCTCACAGCATGGGTTTTATTTTACTACGTACAATTCTAACATCAGAAAGACATACAAAATATATTAACAAGTTTAACCAAAATTTATAACAACATTTGCATTAACTCATCTGTGCTTATACTAAACAAAAGATTGTTTAAACGATTAATAGTTTCTACAAAATGAAAAACGTAACCAAAAACATAAGTTTGAGTTGATGATTTTACAAAAAGGATATTCAGAATTTATAAAGGTATCGTTTTAAAATAATCAAAGCAGGTTGTGCAGCAATGTTGGCACACGATATTGCATAATGAAATATACAATCTGCTCGCTGTGTCACTACAATTCAAAGTTTGAGGTAATATTTTATTCTTATTAATGCATTCTGTCGAAAACATAATCATTTATGCATTCACTAGTCACTAGTAATATATCAAAGTTGTAATTTTATTGATTGTAAATTTAAACAGTTATAAAATCATTAGAAAAATAGAGAACATATTTTGTAAACAAATTTTAATGGATATTGCATTTCAAACAAGGATAATGAGATTCAGCAAACAAATATAGATGGGTTTTTTTCCCAAAATTCTTAGAACACATGCATTATGGTTGATAATTTTGACAATATTTCAGCCGCGCCATGACAAAACCAACATAATGCGTTTGCGACCAGCATGGATCCAGACCGGCCTGCGCATCCGCACAGTCTGATCAGGATCCATGCTGTTCGCTTTCAGTTTCTCTACTTGTTATATGGTTTGTAAGCGAACAGCATGGATCCTGATCAGACTGCGCGGTAAGCGCAGGCTGGTCTGGATCCATGCTGGTCGCAAATGCATTATGTTGGTTTTGTCATGGTGCGGCTCATTTCTACATTTCTAGAAATCGATGAGTGTGCAGTAGGTCTACACAGGTGTGACAACAATGCATTATGTAACAATACACGTGGAAGTTACGAGTGCGCTTGCCGTAAAGGTTACGAAGGAGACGGTTTTACTTGCACCCGTTAGTACTTTTTCTTTCTTTTATTCTATAAAAATGATCATATATTTATCAGCAATAAGAATAGGAAAACTTATTTAAAAAGTAAACGAAGTACATTTCATTCGATTGTATTATGATTAGTTTTAAGGTCGTTGACTTCAAACCAGTTTCCCCTCATCGCTGTTGGTTCGAACCCTGATAGGGACTAAGATTTTTTCATGAGAGTAAGCTATTCAGCTATCTTACGGAATGTCGGTGGTTCTACTCAGGTGCCCGTTCGTGCCTGAAGTAATGCACGGAGGGGCACCCGAGGTCTTCCTTCACAATTAAGATGATGTTTTGTCGTGTGAACTATACTGTGCAGGTGCGACTTAAAACCAAACAATAACTTAAAACAACAAAAAAGAAGAGAAGACAAATAATTGAGACTGTTAATTCTATTTTAGTTTTATTTTATTTTACACTATTGGAAGAAATGTTTAGCAAGTTCATTTAAAAAGAAATTATTACTTGTAGCAAAATGTGAAGGTGGGTGTAGCAATGGTGGCCGATGTGTTGGACCTAACATATGTGAATGTCGCCATGGTTTTATAGGCCCAAACTGTCAACACGGTATGTGAACATTCTAAATACTGTTCTGCCGTGATAAATATATTGTTTGAAAATGATAATAACTTTTTTGTTGCTGTTTGTTATACCTCATTATAACATCCCTTTAAAAAATCTAATTTTATCTCCTCGTTCACAAACGGAAAAACAGTAGGCTTATAATTTTATTACCCGTCACTAGTAATGTTATTTTCCCATAAGCCAATGGGATTTATTCTTACTGTTAATTCAAATGTACCATTTGACTAAAAAAATTACTTTCCACAGTAAAATTCTGAGAAAAAAAATATAGAAAAAGTGTCTCAATGAAGTATTTGTCCGGGGTGATAAAATTAATAACACATAGGTTTGCGAGTAACAGCAAAATGATCATCCCGGGGAAAATACTTATACCCGAAACGTTAGCCGAGCGTAATAGTATTTTTACGAGGGATGATAATTTTGCTGCTACTCACAAACCCTAAGTTTTATTTATATAATGTAATGATTAGTGGTCACATACTCTTACATAACACGCATTCTCCATATTCTTAAACAGACATCGATGAATGTTCATTGGGAATTTCTGCTTGCCACGCCCACTCGGTGTGTATAAACACACTCGGGTGGTACAAGTGTGACTGCATTGAAGGATACCACAGCCATTGGCCAGAAAATCATTACGGAAGTCTATGTGTTGGTGAGGTGTCATTTTGATGTTTAGAGATTATCCATTAATTTGACTGAATAATTTTATATTTCCTCTGTTCCGAAATTATTTCTCTTAAGCACAAATAGATAATTATTTAGATATAAATAATAAATTTAAAACAATAACATTTAAATAAATCATGCATGTGCTCTTATCTATGTTTCTGGTGAATATATAAAATAATCTAAGCTAAACAAATAATGATTCATCTTTGTATATTATTCAAATAATTTATTTTAATGAAAACCAAATATATTTGCTAATTTATATACTTTAATAAATATAACTGTAGCTTTGATAGAATCGACTTTATATCTAGTATTTTGTATGTTTCTAATACTAGATGTCAATGAGTGTATTGGTGAGGGTGAAGGTGACACGTGCCATTCGTCAACCGAATGTGTCAATACTGAAGGAGGGTACAGGTGTGACTGCAAGCAGAATATGAAATGCCATAAAAGTGAGTTTTATTTTGAATAGTATGTGTTACTCGTGACTTATTGAAATGCGTTATGTAGCTAACTGATCTCCTTCAACCTTGAATGGTCACATGATCTCCTGGAAAAATATTATAAAAATGATAATTCTGTTTTTAAGTACCATGTAATTAACTGACACAATGTACAAAAATCCGGTAATATATTCGTATTCACTACATAAACAAATATGGTGCTATACATGTATATTTACTGTAGATCCCCTTTAAACATACATTTCAGACTGTTTGTATGGAACTTACGAGCACACTAATGGCGACAGATGGGTATCTGAGCAAAACAGTTGTCTAGTTTGTGACTGCAAGGTAAGTTTCGTCTGCGAAATATTTAACTTATTTCATGACATGATAACAGTATTAAATATATCAAAATCAAAATACATTCACTTTTTTAATTTATACAGAATGGTGTAACTGAGTGTTTTAGAAAAGAATGTAATTGTTCAGCGGATGAAGTCGATCTGGAATGTTGCCAACATTGTGACACAAGCGCCACGTGCTATCATGCCGACACAAATGCTGTTTATAACAACGGGGAAAGGTGGCAGTTTGAGTGTGACACGTGCGAGTGTCTGGTACGACATATTCTGGTTTCGGTTTTTTTTTCTCATATAAACACTAATATGCAATAAGTCGATTCACTTCTCATTTCGACATTAAACTTGGAAATATAGAAACTAAACTAATTTTCATTGTATAGCAATGAAGGTTTTGTTGACATTAACAAAAACATACATGTATACATTTCATATTGGACATGTACTCCACTCCTGTTCAAAGAAAGAAACCTGTTTTAAATGAAATGTATACGTATTCTAAATATCATATGTCTATGTATATAATGTGAGTAAACTCTGCACATTCTTACATGTTTATTTAAGAATGGTGAAATCGACTGTTGGCCCATTCGTTGCCCAATGAAAGTATGCAATGAGAATATACAAGAGCCAGGCGATTGTTGTCCGAGATGTGCCGACGATATGCCATGTGACAACCCTATTCAAGAATTAGGGGGTGCTGATCTGTCAGCCTTTGTGTGTATCTATGAGGGAGTAACAAGGAAACACGGGGATACCTGGAACCTGAAAAATGACATTTGTACACGATGTGAATGTAAGGTATGTAATGGATAAAACATATAATATTTATTTCATTGGAGTATTTTTTATGCTACTTGCTTAGATATCAATAGTTTAATTAGTCGTTTGTAGCCATTGCTTTAATGGTTGGGATTTGTAAGTATACATTGTAATATGTTAGATATATGTGTACTTTCAATGAGGTAAACATTGACTAACGCGCAACTTTAACAGATGCAGCTACGCCAATTTAATACTCCCTAGCATTGAGGTTAACACTAACTATCGCGTAGCTTGGATGCAGCTTGGCCTATTTGATTCACCCCTGCAGTTTTAGAAACGACAAGTTAATTTGTAAAACTTGTTTCTGGTTTGGACTCAATTGTTTTTATTTATATTTTTAGGCTGGTCATATCTGTTGCAGTGTCAAAGATGTCTGTCCACATCATCTGATGCAGTCAAAAGGCTTTAATTTATCACCATAGCAACTTAATATAAGACAGTCACTACTATATGTTGTCAATTTGATTAACTTGGTACAGTGTTGTAAATTTACAGGAATACATTTACCGTTTTACACTTGCTATAAAGCCACTTATATGCTTGTACAACAGTCAATTTGTTTATGTTATGTTATGAAATAAATGATTCATCGTTTTGTCCTTATTCAAACATTAAAGAAGACTTATTATGCAGATGACACGTTAATGAGGCTGGCACCAATAAGTTATTTTTACATACACACAGAAATGCTTGCTGGATAAACAACTTTCTTAATGATATGATTTAGAGACCTGATATATCTACAATACAGATTTCTTTTGTCTATATATTTTTTTCATAAATTACAAATTTTGAAGAATATTCTATGCCTTAATCTTGTCAATATTTAACATGCATTAATGTTGTTTACAATTATAGTTAGCCTTGTTGGTACCATTTCGTGTAAATGCATGTCTTTCCGGACATTGTGTTGTCATGATTGATTGTAACTCTTTTCTTTATTTTCGAAGCAGTTGTATTTGCTTTTACAGAAATTGAACAATGGAGCTTTAGACTGGCTATTCAGATACTGTCTCTATTTAAAGTAGGCTTAAATGAAATATATGTTAAATTTGCTGAAACTTGTAAAGGTTCATTTAATGTTAATGGCGTCTACAGTATATGTAAATCTTATTTAAATTTAGTATAATAAAAACATTATTAACAGATTTGTAAACATTTGCATCATAATTCAAACGTACTTTACAACTGCTTTACATTCATAAAGAAAATAAAATATTACATAATTTCATGAAGATTGATGCCAGTCTTATTATTTGGTATTTATCTTTTCTGAATGTATCAAATAATTCCACAAAAGACTGAACTAGTCCCGCTGAATTAAATGTTCAACTTGACGCCTATAATAAGCTTAAATTAAGTCATATAAACAGAATGCATACGTCAATATGACGCAAATGTCTGATTTGAAGTTATTGCTATGATGATACATTCTTCCCGATAATACGAAAATCTGCAATAAGGCACAACATTTCTTACACGCTTTACGTCGTGCATGATACTGTCTGGCTTAAATGCCACTTTTTAAATCGTTAATGTTTGTATCATTATCATTGTTTGTTGTTACTTTAATTATAATGTTAACCATTATTTGCATATATACATAAATGTTTGGTGTCATGTCTAAAATCGGACATCGTACGCAATAATCACCCAAAACGAACGAAACTGCAATTTATGTTATGGATCAACATTACTTCGATTTCTTGATTTATATCCCTTTACAGAACATAACAAAAATGCATTTTATACTTAGACAAAGATTACCAAACATACATTTTGTAAAAACATGTGAACAAATAAACAATTAGTTTTCAATATGTTTTATATATATGTATCTATAACAGCATTTTGTAACTAACTTAACAATCGGTATAAACTATACTGTAACATTTTTCTTTATTTGTCAGCACATTATTGATTTATTTTAGTATAAAAACTACCATTCTTAAATATTTAGTTGTGTTTCTTTTTTTAATTTACATCTTTACCTCAAATTTATGCATGTATTTACTATTACTATTGTAATTACTATTATCGCCTTTTTGAACATTTAGTAACTTATTTACATATTCATATTTTAGGCTCGCTACCTCAAAACCGGTGTTCAGGCAAAACATGTTTGTTTTGTTTCTTTTTTAAAATGCATAATATTTAAGTAAAGCTTTATTGCTTTTAGATATCTATATGAGTACTTGTTGTTGTTGTTGCTACTACTGTTGTAATGTATATTATGTTCCGCGTTAATTTACACGAAATTCAGGTCCTATTTATATTTGAAGAATGACAGGTCTCAGTCAAACCCAAACATCCGAAATGATTTAATTCAGATGCATGATAACAATGTACGTATTGCAACTTTGAGACATTGCGATGACTTGATAGTCATCATTTCAATAGTTTTGCTGTAATACTTACGGTGGCATTGATTTTTAAAAGAAGAATTATTCATCAATATATTAACATAAGTATGTGGTGATTATCTAACTAATATTCTATGTGTCGCAACAGCATTTTATATATTGTATATTATATTAGAGTTTCTATAGAGTTTTAGTATGTTAAACTTATGTTTAATAAGTGTTAGCATATAGTTGTTTCTTATTGTAGTCAAATAGTAATAAAGTGTGTGCACAAAAAGTTGTATTGTTATTTTTGTAATGACTTTACGATCATAATTTTCTTCTTGTAAAACCCGGAATTCATCTACAAAGGCAAACTGCTTGTCGTGTTTTAAAAAGAAAAATATTATACAAATATGCAGTGAGTGTTGTCCTACCAAACTGCAGATATCAATATTGGCATCTTGCTGTAAGTATAAACGGACCTTTTGTATCACAATAATTGTCCAAAGTGACTTTCAAATTGCAGCAAGAATGACCGTTGCAATGTAGCATAAATGACAAGCAGAAATAATAAAAAAACAGTCGACGCTTCCGTTATAAATGAATATACATAAACACATATTTCTTAAACTTATTGTTGAAATTGGCAGTTTGTTCCAGGGGCGTGACAAAAATAAATACATGTACATAACAATGGATACTTTTTCATTCGATTGACGAAACATGCACAATTACATTTTGTTCCAGGGATTTGAAAGAGAATCCAAAAAGATAAAAATGCATAGAAATTCATACCCACTAAAAGAATTACAGCTAAACCATCTTTGCCCTGGATAACAAAATCCATTAAAAAATTAATTCATAAAAGAGACCAGCTCTATAAAAATATTAAAAAACCAAAAACAAATAAAAATAAATCTGATCATGATCAATGGCTAAAATTTAAAAATTTGAAATCGCAAATAAAAGCTAGAATTAAACAATCATACGAGTCTTACTTAGAAAACATCCTGAACCTTGCAGATGATGATGATGAAACTAATACACAAAGTAAAGTCTGTACCAAAAAACTATACACACTTATAAAAAACTCTAAACAAGATTCACAAAGTGTGTCTCCATTAAAAGATCAAAAGTCTGGTTCTCTCAAAATTAATAACACTGAAAAAGCAAACATTCTTAACAAACAATTTCAATCAGTTTTCTCACCAATTATACCACTTACACTTAAAGATCAATGTATATAAAAACTGAGACTCATGGATCCCAGAAAGTATTGTCAGTACCACCAATGACTGACATCATCATCAGTAGGGCAGGTGTACTAAAGCTCCTCGCCAACCTCAATTCCAACAAAGCTGCCGGCCCTGACCACATTAGACCAATTGTCCTGAAGGAGCTTAGAGAAGAGATTGTTGACATCATTGCAGTTCTTTTCCAAAAATCCCTGACCACAGGTAATATTCCCAATGACTGGACCCGTGCAAACGTATGCCCTGTCTACAAAAAAGGTGATACAAGTGATCCAGCAAACTATCGCCCAATTTCCCTTACATGCATCCTCTGTAAAACACTTGAACACATAGTTGCCTCTCAACTATCCTCTCACTTTACCACCCACAACATACTCTTTGATCTTCAGCATGGATTCAGAGAAAGACGATCATGTGAGACACAACTCATTGAACTTACTGATTACCTTGTGAACAACCTTTCAAATGGCAAACAAACAGATCTCATACTTCTTGACTTCTCCAAAGCATTCGATAAAGTAAACCATCTTAAACTCTTAGATACCCTTGTATCCTCAAATAATAAACTGGATACAGTCCTTCCTTATTGGCCGTAGACAGACAGTAGTTGTGGATAGTGACTGCTCATCTGAAGTCCCAGTTACCTCTGGAGTGCCCCAAGGCTCTGTCCTAGGGCCCCTTTGCTTCCTTCTATATATCAACAAGCTACCATCTTCTGTCCTTAAATCCCAAGTCAGATTATTTGCAGACGACACTGCTGTATACTTAACCATCAATTCCTCCTCAGACCCCCAACTCTCCAACATGATCTAGACAATATGGTTCTGTGGGAGAAGCAGTGGGACATGGAGTTTAACCCTTCAAAATGCCAAGTCATCCATATCACCAAAAATAAAACCATAATTAAACACAAATATATGCTCCATGGCCAAGTCCTAGAGTCTGTTACAAATGCTAAATATCTCGGACTAGATCTATCTGCTGACCTTAAATTTAATACATATATATCTCGAATAACTTCCAATGCAAACAGATCCCTTGGCTTTATTAAAAGAAATGTCATTACTAAAAATGAGAAAATACAAGTCCCTGGTCCGCCCACAGGTTGAATATGCCTCAACTATTTGGTCTCCTTACACTAAAACCAATATTGACAAAGTTGAGATGATCCAGAGACGCGCAATAAGATGGGTTAAAAGGGATTACTCCCCTCACTCTAGTGTCGCAGCCATGCAGGAAGAACTGGGCTGGCGATCCCTTGAACATCGCAGACTGGACTGTAGACTGATAATTTTTTATAAGATATACCATAACCTTGTTGCAATTAATCTCCCAACTTATGTTCAAACCCCACATAGATTAACCAGACATATGCATCCCTTATCCCTACGCCAAATACAGGTATCCTCTGACTACCATAAGTACTCTTTCTTCCCTCATAGCATTATACTATGGAATAAACTTCCTAGTAACATTGCCACCCTGCCCAACCTGAGTCAGTTCAAACAGGCAGTGGTGGGTTTGCAGTACTAGTCTTACTCCCAGTGTTTTTAAACTATTTTATCTCTTATCATCTTGTTTCACTATTAACATTTTAACCATGACTAGAATACATTTTCAGTCTCACCTTCCAAGCATGTCAATGTTTGGACTTTTCTTTTTTAGCTTTTCTTTTCACCTTTTACTAACAATCCGACGTGCACTAAATTCCTGCCTTTAACACTCGTAAGAGGGGTTGGCAGTATCCAGAGATAGATAGATAGCATACTAATAATATATGTTCGTATAAACTTGGTTTGATGATCAGTGATCATTTATGTGTTGAGTAACACAAAGATAGTGAAATTTAAGGCCAATACTAAATGTTATCACAACTTAGTCTATAATTTGGCAACGATCCTGATTTCTTGACTTTCAGGTACACTTTTTTGTATATACCGTTATAATTTTCATTATCCATATATCTATTTTA